ATAAGTCCCTTATCTGACATGTCATTACCAAATACTTTTTCCCAGTCTGTGGCTTCCCTTTTTACCCTGTTGGAGAAATTTTTGGATGTGCATAGGGATTTGATTCTTAAAAGGTCCCATTCATCTATTTTATCTTCTCCTGGTTGTAGAGAAAGACTAACTTTTATGAAAAACATTGGCCAATTTTGTGGGTCCTTGGTCCTTATCATGAGTGTCTGCTTTAAGTTTATCCATTGACCTATTTTTTTCCTTCATCAAATCTTATTCTTTTCAAGTTCCTTATAATATGCTTGGTGCTGAAATACTGAGCCTTGGTAAAGTAATTTTCCACAGGAAGCTTGGACTCATCCTAGACATTGTTTTCAGAGACCAGAACAAGTTGATGATAGTGGAGAGCTCAAATACAAATATATAGCTGAAACTTTGGAAGCCGCGCTCTTGGCCAAGAAGGTGGACAGAACACTGTTGAGGTCCTGCTGGATATTAGCCCACTAGACGATTCTATGCCAGGCCAGTGATTCACGAAATGGGGACATGGCCCCACCCAAACCTACTGAGTCAGGCACAGTATGAGTGGGGCCTTGAAATCTCTGTTTGACAAGATTGACCCCGGATTTACCAAGATTCTGGTTCATACTGAAGTTTGAGGATCAGTGCTTCAGGTTTCTTTTTTTTTTAAATAACAATAACACTCTTTATTCATTTGATATTTTGAATATTTAAATATGGTGTTTTTAATTCATTTTAATGAAAGTTTAGAGACTTTGGATTTCCATTCATTCATTGTTGCACTTTTCTCCCTGCCCAACCTCCTCCCCCTACCCCCAGTTCGCTCTTCTCTTTGAAAAGTAAAAGAAAAATTCTTTCATTGTTATACAATTCCTCCCCCCAAGATCTCCTCTTTCTTAAAGCAAGGGGTTTGGGGTGGATGGTCAGTGTGTCTTTCAGCTTGGAAATGCAGCGAATCGAAAATTCTCTCAGTACTTTCACCACTTCCTCACAGGAAGTTAAGCTTTTATATGAGATGCTTTCACTGAGTGTTCGCTAAGTCACAAGGTGAATGCGAATGGCAGGGCTTCAGTCTGTTGTTGGGGTCATTGAGGAGTGGTGGTGGTGGCGGTGGTGGTGGTTGGGCGCCATCAAGTCTGCTCATGACCAACCAGAACCTTGGCGCGTGCTGTGCCAACCTCCTGATCTCTGTCATGCTCAAGCCCATTGTGGTGGTCACTGTGTCCATTTCAGTGTGTCTGTCCTTCTCACTGTGTCTGTCCATCTCACTGTGTCTGTCCGTCTTACTGTGTCTGTCCGTCTCACTGTGTCTGTCCGTCTCACTGTCTGTCCGTCTCACTGTGTCCGTCTCACTGTGTCTGTCCGTCTCACTGTGTCTGTCCATCTCACCGTCTGTCCGTCTCACTGTGTCCATTTCACTGTGTCTGTCCATCTCACTGTGTCTGTCCATCTCACTGTGTCCATTTCACTGTGTCTGTCCGTCTCACTGTGTCTGTCCATCTCACTGTGTCTGTCCGTCTCACTGTGTCTGTCCGTCTCACTGTGTCTGTCTATCTCTGGAAAGTCTTCCTCTTTTCCACTGACCTTCTACCTTTCCGAGTATGATGTCTCTCTTCAAAGACTGATCCCTCAAAAAAATATGCCCACATTAAATGAGACAGAGTCTCACCATCTGTTCCTCTGAGGTGCAGTCTGGCCGCACTTCCTTCAAGATGGATTTGTTGGTTCGTTCGGCAGTCTGTGTGATGCTCAGCACACTTCACCAACACCAAAATTCAGAGGCATCAGTGGTTCTTCTGTCATCTGTGTGCTTTGTCCAGTTTTCATATGCATAAGAAACAATAAACTGACAGCCGTGTGCTTTAGAATTTGGAGAGGCCATTGATAATAGGTTTCCCCAACATGATACGCCTCTTAGCTTCTTGTCTGCTGATACCATGGGTGTTGGTTGTAGATCCAGGTAATTGGAAGTTGTTGATTTCGAGGACTAAGACAGTGGAATCGCAGAGGGAAGCCAGGCCAGCATTGTTGTTGTGAGTGAGGCTGATTGAAGGACAGACTCTGTGTGAGAGCTCACTGGGTTTCCTCCCTGGTCATCTAGAACTGATGGAAGAGAACTACCACAAGTGGGTGGCTTTCACAAACAGAAATTGACTTTCTCACAGTTTGGGAGGGTCTGCTCACTGTCATCTGGGGAGGAGCTTGGTGTCCCTGGAGACCCTCATGTGTCCTGGTTGTCCCCGAGCTGTCCAAGAGCTTCCTTAAGCCAGGGCCTGGGACTAAAAAGATGCGCTCCAGCCCTGGTGAGTCTGTCTTGGTGGTTCTGATGTTCCCTGCTTTCTAGGCTCACTTTCTCCCCTTTTACCTGTGGTGAAATAAAAGGTATCACTCCCCTTATATTGGATTGTTGCTGTTGTGTACGGTAGAGTCAAAACTGACCACAGCTGACCCTCCAGCAGGTTTTCAGAGGCAGTGAATCATGAGAGGAGATCACCCATCCTTCTCCCATGGAGCCATTGGTGGATTTGAACTGCATGCCCTCGGGGCCACCAGAGCTCCCTTATATAGGATTAGAGCTTCAATTTAGAGATTAAGGAGCAGTTGCAACTATTTGGTTTATCAGATCATGGGGATAATTTACATAGTTTGAATACTGTGTCATTACTTCTATGTATTCTAGGGGGTTCTGGTGGCTTAGTGGAACAGGACTGCCAACCCAAGGGCACATGGTTTGAATCCACCAGCTTCTCTGCAGGGTGAAACAGGCAGTCTCCTCCCATATGATTTACTGCCGCTGAAAACCACCAGAGGGTGAGCCATAAGTCAGTTCTAACTCGATGGTACATAACAACCACAATGCACATTTTGGAGGCCACAGTTCATTCCATGGCAGTTCATTTCTCTTGAACCCAGGGTTAGACTCCCCCACCTCTCACAGCTGGCTGGCCTGGCCTGGATGCCGTGGCCCTATCTCTACATGAGGAAGTGGGAGAGAGGAGCAGAGCTGAGCTTGCCCAGTTAATTGTCAGAACACTTACCAGATTCACTCAGCTCCAAGGGACGGAAAGGGAGTGGCTCATCAACAGCCCTCCATCCTCTACCAAAGAAAGCTCAGGTGTAGGAGAGAGCCGCCTCTGCAGAGGGGATATTGCAATGGGGACATTGCTGCAGGCGGGACATTGCAGTCAGGACGTTGCTGCAGGGGGGACATTGCTGCAGGGGGAACATTGATTGCTGCAGGGGGGGCATTGTTGCAGGGGGGACATTGCTACAGGGGGGACATTGCTGCAGGGGGGACATTGCTGCAGGGGGGACATTGCTGCAGAGGGGTCATTGCTGCAGGGGGGACATTGCAGTGGGGGCCTTGCTGCAGGGGGAATGTTGCTGATGTTGCTGCAAGGGGGACATTGCTGCAGGGGGGACATTGCTGCAGAGGGGATGTTGCTGCAGAGGGGATGTTGCTACAGGGGGCATGTTGCTGCAGATGGGACCTTGCTGCAGGGGGCATGTTGCTGCAGGGGGCATGTTGCTGCAGAGGGGACGTTGCTGCAGGGGGCATGTTGCTGCAGGGGGGACGTTGCTGCAGGGGGCATGTTGCTGCAGGGGGGACGTTGCT